TCACTATGTGACACTTCCAGCATACTATCAGTTATGGCAAGTACAATTTAACCATTTCTGTTTATTTCAAATGTCTGCTTAGAGGAAAAAAAGACAGTTAATTCACAGGGGAGTGACTCGTGTCCTGTTACAAACATCCCCAAAAACCCCAAACCTCAAAACACTCAGAGAATGGTGAATTGATATAAAAGAAAGGCTCTTTAAAACATTTTCCAGAGTCTTCCAACATCCAAGGCTTTAGAGGCTCTTAGTATTTGAAGTACTAGTGGAAGTGTTCATACAATTCCCTGTGCACAGATCTAAAAATAGCTATGGACACAGTAGTAAGTTCTGGTCTTGCAAGCCCCTTACTTCCCTCTCTGGAACCTACTTCCCATTAGCACTGACGTTCAATTTCTTGGGTCTTTCTAAAAAGGAGTTATTAAAAATTAGAAATTATTTCAACAGTGAGTTAACATCAACAATAATAGATCAATATTACATTTAAATTGATGCTCTAGTAATGGATTATGAACATATTTTGCATATTAAGAATATCTGCATTGAAACAGATGCCTTTTGCAGCCTCCTTGGATAGCCATGCTCTCTTCTGTATCAAGAAGGGTGGTATCTGTAAGCACAAGTCAGAAGCCAGTGTAGCTGCAGGCGAACAACTCAGCACAGTTGCCTTAACTGCAAATAAGCTTTGGAGTTCAGAGTAAACAGCCCCATCAATGCTGAAGAGATAAGAATATGACTTGTACCACAGGAAAAGTTCAGGAGCTCTTGAAATACATAGTTACAGGCTAGAAAGACTTGGTGTCTTGAAGGGAAGCAGTAAGAATCATTCAAATAAGATACTGCTTTGACTAGTTAGGATGGAGATACAAAAACAAAACCAAAAACAATGTACATGCTTAAAAAAGCTGATAAAACAATGTTAGTTTTGCTTTAAGAATTGATGAAGCCAGATGATGGCCTCTGCAGATCTACTTGTTGTTACCTCAAGCTCTGTAACAGGCTGGCACACACAGTATGATTCTGTTACAACCGTGACAAAAGTGTAATTTTCTTGCCTGACATGCCCTATTTGTCCCATCTTTAACCACAATGACACGAAGTGTGCCAAGTTGTAACAAGTCAAGACAGTAGCTAACCTCACTTCAGATTTCATTTGTTCTGGACACATTAAAACCAAAGTAAATGGCTTCTCACATTCTCCCACTAGAAACTTGGGAGGAAGAACAGAAGCCAAAACAGAAACCAACTGACCAAAGCAGATCCTACCTTGGCCTCAATGTGTTTATGGCACAAAAGGAAACAACATTTATAGGTGCGAAAAAGCTTGCAGATACATGCACCTGAACTCCCAAATATACCCAAATACTTGTTATGAGGATCAAAGTGAAGAAGCTTCCACCCTTTCAGCCAAATGATCACTGAAATCCCAGGGTCCTTTCTGCAAGAAGCCATTCAAAATAGAATTTGTCTCCACCTGCTGGCAATGGAGAATTAATATCCAGTTGCCCAAAGTACCACGGGCAACCTCAACAGAACAAATGTTACAGGACATTTTGCAACACGTGATGAATGTATTCATTTCTAATATACAGACAGAAAATGGGGTAGGATAATGAGGGCAAGGGAGAGGAGAGAAGAATCACATCCTGATTACAAAGGAATTCCTATTCTAGTAGTTAAAAAATGAGGACGGAGACGTGACAATGTAACCAAATATACAATGAAGCTTTTGTCCCCAGACTACTTGGCTTGCATACAAGGAACAGAGGAACTTGGGTTGGTGGGGACAGGCTGGGGCAGGGGAAGAGCGAGAAGCTGATGTTTGTGAAAAGAAAGTGAAATTGGTTAGTCTGCTTTAAGAAAGACTGAAGAAAAGAAGCAATAAAGCACCCTGCTATTGTAGAATCCACCCACTCGCTTCTGAAATGCTCAAAGACCCAGACAGGCATTTACAAACAGCACTTCTAGGCACTGAATGTGAAGCAGAAAACACTGAAATGCCAGAGGGAGCTTCTGTAGACCGAGAGAAGCAGCTTTCCAATTACATAGGGGTTATGGTCAGAGCCATTTTCTTTCAACTATTTTGCTACTGATGAATCAGTCATTAAGCTCAGTGTGACAGACCATAGGAAGACACCTGTACACTGATTTTCAGCTCTAGTTAACCCGCCAACATGTTCTACTTTGTATTTTTAAACAAAGTCACACAACTTCCTGGAGAAAAAATAGAGAGTTCAAAAGCAGACCAACATGTCCCATTGCTCAGCAGCTAAAATAATAACAATAATAGAAAAAGGAGCCGGTGTTCAGCTGACTGCAAGACCAGGGTAAAGAAAATGCAAGCGCTGAGCAGGGTTATTATTTCAAGGATTGTTGAGAGGCATTCAGAAAGATGACAGTAAAGCAAAGCTTCACAATCTTAGTGATGATTTAAAAATTATTCTAAACATAATAAATTCAGTTCAAATAAAGTATATTGCATATAATAGCACATTTATACTCTGTCAGAAAGGGAGTGCTGATGCAGAGGTTTTCTTTAGCCTTAGTTAAAATCAGTTCAGAAAAGATTTATTTTCTCAGTGCGGACCGTATCTGGCTTCTATTTATTTACATGAGTCTATACTATATCCAGTGAGGGTTTAAACTAAATGAAGGTATGGGTTTATACATATCATATATAATTATAAATAAGGCATTTCCTTAAACCACCTGCTTTCTTTAAGAACTTAAGCAGTTTTAAACTTATTTTGTTAAAAGGGGCTGCACTGCTGCTAAGCCCCATGTACTCCGGGAATTAGACTTCTGCTGAACCTAGAAGCAAGGCATGGAAACTTGTTCAAGCTATGCAGGTGTTAGTAATTCTTTTAGCAATCAATCCAGAAGTAGCATTTGTATCCTCGAGAATAATACTGCAGAGAATTATTTTAAATGTATGTAAGCGCTTTTTATTTACAACTCAGGTACATTATAATCTATTAGCGATGCAGCTTGCCCAGTAAAACAGCAGCACCCAAGATCTTCGAGTTTAATGCCACAGATGCATGCAGCAGGACCAAGTTACACAGTGGTTCAGTAATACACCATATCATTGCACTACTGACAACCCCTCTGGTACCTGCAGGCAGTTCCAGTATTACTAAAAAGGTTATATGAATGCCATCCAAAAAGATGCATGAGAGAACTATACCATGGTGTTGAAGATGACAGTGTATTAAATGATCAGTTGCATGCCTGTGTGCTTTGGGTTTGTGGGCCTTTTTTATTTTTTGGAATTTCCTGTTTAATCCTCAAAGCCAGAGAATGCAGAGGTAGGCCTACTAGTCTTGGAATGCTATTTATTCAACAAACTGGACTTCTTTTTTTCCAGTTTGATGCAGTTTTATTGCTAACATGTACAGGAATGAACCTCCCACATGATCCCCATCTGAATCTCCTCCTAAAAACAAACCCCATGCTTGCTCATAGCATTTCCCAGAAAAAAAAAAAGCAATTCTTAACAGGCTGCTGGTGTAATTATTCCTTACTATACTGGATTCTCTTAGTAGTTATCTCATGTTAAATTCAAGTTCCCTATGGCATGAACCATCTTTTTATCCCACATTTGAACAGCGCTTAGAACAGCAAAGTCTTAGTCTGTGTCTACAGATGCAAGGAATTACGGAACAATTAATCTGTCTTCTCCCGCCCCGCACATCCTTCCCCCCATTCCCAGCGCTGTAACATGGAAATTGTTACATTTTTAGCCCGAGGAAAGGAGGTTTAAACAATCATCCTGTAACAGCTTTACCTAGCCTTTATTTTTCAGCCATTTAGCAGCCTCGTTGATACTTCAGTGACTGATTTCAAAGGTACCGAACAAGACAAATCAGGAATATACTAGTGGAGACAGAAGAGTACCTAAGGGCTGCAACATAAATTTAACTACAGTATCAGACACTAGAGAACCTGCAGAGAGGAGCAGCATGAGGAAACAAACATTTCACTACTGAATCTCTCCAGCTTTCCTTCAGCAGTATCAAGTTCCTTCTTAAGAGTTTAAGGGAGACTATACAAACCCATGCTTCCATTCTCTACCTAGCTCCTCTAATTAAACATTGATAACATATGAGGCATGAAGAATTTCAACTGTAACTGTTTCTCCTTAATAAAAAAGGAAAAAAAGCTGGATGCAGTCTGGGGACAAAACACTCAAAACAGACTTCTACCTGCACATTAATATGCCAAAATCAAAGATTTACTAGAACAATTAGGATGTCACCACATGTAATTTTCCAAGTGACTAGCGGTACTAGGTTGCATGGATCACTATGTGGTTTCACTGAAAAAAAAAAAGAGGAAAAAACCCATCTTGTACATAGGAAGAGAAAGAGTAGGTTATTAACAGCTGTCAGAAACATATTCCATACCAGAAGTGCAGCTATTTTGGCACAAGAGCATGAAAACCTAATAATGAGAAAGCAAGGAAGATAGCACATTTTTACGCTCACTGTCATCTTTCAGTGCTTATCCAAGTTTCACTTGCAGACGTCAGGATGAAAAGAAACAGCCAAATAGCAGCAGCCGGAATGGGTGGTGCATTCACTTCAAAAAGATCTGCACACAGGAATAGTTTGCCAGTATCAATATAGTGCAAGCTGGCAGGACTGGAAAGTTACAAATTAAGTGTGCCTTCATCAGTGACCTGCTATGAACAGACCTACTGAGCTCCTAAAATATTTTTAGTTCAACCAATTCCTGCCTTTTTTGGTTCCTCTTGCTCTTCCAGTTTATCCAGTCATGTGCACTTTTCCACTCCCTCTTTACTGCCATGTAGTTTTTCAAGTTTGGCTCCAATTACCACTTGTTTCTGCTGCTGAAGTGCTCAGATTTACAGCACTACTATAAACGGTGATGATCATCTGATGCCTGAATCTTGCATGTAGCAAGCAATCTTTCAACTGAAGAGAGATGTATATGGCAGGGAACTTTTTCCTTACCACCATGAAGATGGACATACTCACCAGCTGATACTCGCTCCGACGGCTGAAGGCTTCCTTGATTCCCGAATCCCTCCACAGCGCTCCCAGTGCGGGTACATACAGCTGGAAGGTGGCAGGCTCTATGGGCATTCCAGCTTTGTTTTCAAAAGCCATCAAAAACATTCCGTGCTTCCCATTCTCCGTGTACTGCCAAGGGATCCCCAGTTTGTCCCGTGCATCAACCAGAACCCTGCAGCCCTAAAGAATGATTCAGATAAGAAAGTCAGTGATAAAAAGATTAAAGTGGAAAAGAACAAGGACTCAGAGGTACTTGAAACTCTTTTATTTTTCTTGTGAGACTGAACTCAGATGAGAATCATAAATATCGTTTATTGCAACGTCTCCAGCAGAAATAAGATAGAAAGAGCTTGTTTGTATAAGCAACTTATCCACAATGTATTTCTCCAGGTGGAAAAATACACTAGCAGCAACAGCTAGTTGCAGTAAGCAATACTACCAACAGATAACAGAAAGTAAACACTGAATGTGTGAGAGAAGTACCTGGGAACTAATGTATGATCCTCACAGCTGTAGTTTTAAAAGTAACACCGTGCCTGAAAGAGAGCTCTTCCATCTTTCTCTTTCCATTTGGGTTTAGATAACAAAAATTACATGGTACTAGTCTCAAGCCTTAGGAGATCAGAAGAGCCTCAAAAAAAACATTGCTGAAGGAAAAGCTGTATATTCTGGTGAAGCAAAGTATACTGAGCAACCAAAATTGAGGGAACTTACCAACTTCCAGTGCTGTATGCTTCCACTAACCAGTTAAATATTTAGGTGAAAAAGATAGCAATACCGAACTAGCAAGATCCAAAAAGCATGGTGCTGTAAAGCATGATTTTGGAATCACAGAATGGCTTGGGTTGGAAGGGACCTTAAAGCTCATCCAGTTCCAACCCCCTGCCATGGGCAGGGACATCTTCCACTAGAACAGGTTGCTGCAAGCCCCGTCCAACCTGGCCTTGAACACTGCCAGGGATGTAGCAGTCACAGCTTCTCTGGGCAACCTGTGCCAGTGCCTCACCACCCTCATAGTAAAGAATTTCTTCCTATTGTCTCATCTAAACAACCCTTATCTGTCAGCTTAAAGCCATTCCCCCTTGTCCTGTCACTACAATACCTTGTAAAAAGCTGCACTCTGGATTTCTTGTAGGCTCTCTCTAGGCACTGGAAGACCGTTATAAGTCTCACCAGGGCCTTATCTTCTCCAAGCTGAACATGCCCAACTCAGCCTGATTTTGATATTTGGATGCTGTACACCCCAGCTTGACAGATTTCTTGGAAATTTACTATAATGAGCATCTTCCATTTAAACACTTCCATGCAAATGGTCACCTCCAGAAGGAAAGCTCAGTGACAAGAAGACTGAAGACACAGCACAGATTTCAAGCTACTGGGCTCAGAAAAGCAGGTGCAGTTTTCCATCAGTATCACCCTACTCTCTCAACTTGCCACACCTTTGCTAAGAAGTCATGACAGGTAGGTTTTGATACTTTATTTCTGGTAAAATCTGGAAGGAAAGTGATCCTGTTCTCAAATTTAACTGAGGATTACCAAAACTGCTTAATTTCACATTTTGCAGTTTTTATGGAAACCTAATTTCATATTCCTGGCAACAAGCCAAACACGAGGCTAAGCAACTTTGAAACTTCAGTCTTGAATCTAACTACACCTCTACTAACTAGTTTCAGATGGTGAATAGTTATGTCTCAATAGTAAGCACCATTTCAGCAATTGATAAATCCTTTAAAGGTGGCTTAGCATCTTAAGTACCATCTAATTCACAAGTAAAATCTGTGGATTGTATTAAAGTACTTGGTTTTCTTCTTTGTTTGTTTTACAGTTTATGAAAAGAAATAAAGAAAATTGAAGTTCTGTTTCCACATTATACAACTGATTTTTTTTTTTTGGCATACTTTAAGCTATGCACAAAAGTGCACGTATGTTTTCTTAACACTTGAACCTTTCACCTCTTCAGTCCTTTAACAGCACCACACAACAAGAAACAGTAATTTTCCCAATGGAAGTTAAGATTTGAGAGGGAATTGGGAAGCAATTTAATGTGAATGGCACAGAATAGCAGCTCAAAGAGAAGCATCATGGTTGTCACTGTGCAACAGTGTTCCTGAAGTGCAGTTTCCCCAAAATGTAAATATTTATGATTCTCTAGTGAAAGTAGAGAATATATATCCACACTACCATGAAAAGACTAAAATTGAATATATTTACAAACTGCTGCTTTAAATTCTAGACATAACTATTTAGTAACTGTCACACAGACCAAAAGCCAACTCTCATCCCTAGTCACAGTTTATCCCTTTATTAACAAAAGTCTCTAGATCTGCATTGTTTAAACTGTGTTAACAAATACAAGCATGAAGAAAATCACTTATACTGTTCTGTTTCTGAACTGCAGATGCCTACATGAAGTCTCACAACATTAGACACTTCTGCAAGCCTATCACTTACACAGAGCTCCATCCCAACTGCAATTCAAAGCCAGTGTCAGCTTCCCCCAACCCCTAGTTGAGAGCTTTGATTTTCCAAAGCATCGTGGTAATCAAGACTGGTGGGACATCACAATTTATAGGCATTTACTGCCAGGTCTGTGTCTGTGCAGCAAGAAGTGTTTATGAACAGAAATGGTTAACCAGCACTGTGCGTCGGCCAGGATCACCATCTCCCCACGCTGCAGGCCCTGCGGAGCTCCCAGCCCACACAGGCCAGCTCTGACCTTTCACCTGCTTGGGCTCCAGCTCTCTGCAATCATCTCCCCCAGCCACTCAGCTCAGCTCCGGCTTTTCCATCTTACAGCTTTCAGACTGATTTAACCCTTACCCATCTCACAGCTACTGCAGTCCCTTCAAGGAATGGTGGCAAGATCACGCAATTGCCATCCTCCGCGCACTTTCCCGCACTGTTGCTCTGCCTTTTCCTGCTCCCGCTGGAGACACAGAGGATCTCAAGAGACTGTTGTTAAGGAAAGTTTCATCATTTGTTTGGAGAAAACCATAGAGCAGAGTTTCAATCGTGCGTAGAGACTGCTCCAGTCCCAGAATAGTCACTTATCTTCTGGCTGCTGCTCCTTGGAAATGCAGGTTTGAATCTCACTGGGCAAGTGAGAGAACTAAACTTAGACTTAAGAGACCCTATGCGAGAGCATTAACTACTCTAAGGTGACCCATGGGGAGCATGTAGCATCAGCACCTTCCTCTGACTGTGTTAGAGAGAAGAATGGTTGGCACCAAATCAGAGTCCAATCTGGGACAGAGCAGCAGATTCAGATGTAGATACATCAGCTTAACACTGACAAAACAGATACAGACACACATAGAAAACCAATTTTAAACACCAAATAAAGAACATAAAGAATATTAAACGGGTGAGTAGGAATGCTGTCCTATGCACACCCACAGGAACAGCACCTCTCAAAATCAGGATCTGCAGAACACACCAGCTCTGATGCACCTACAATGCATCAGGAGTAAAAGCTTTACAGAGCAAGTAAAACAGCCAGCTCTCAGCAGTTAAAAGTATTTGTGACTCGGCAAGATCCCCAGTAAAGTGAATCTGAACTTAACATTGCTCCATCTCCACAAAACAGTTCCATAAATGCTACAAGCAGATGTCAGAAAGACGAGGAGAAAAAAAAATTGCCAAATTTAGACCCCACATACTGCTATTCTCGCACTTCAGAGTTACTGGCAACACTTTTTTGCAGCCACAGAAGCATCTGATAATCCTTGCCCCATCAATCTGCAGAACAAGTTACCATAGGAAAGGCTTTCTCTTTCTGGAAAGAATTCAAAACACTTTCCGCAGGTCTTTCCTCCAAAAAGCCCATCATGGGAGACAGCCAGAGAGTCACTTTCATCTGTAGTTAAAACTGCTTGAAGTTTATATTGATGCCCAGAGATAAAGATTTCATTTAGAAGAATCAATTTAAACTAAAATTACTAGAATCTCCATTTATTATAGAATGAACAGAATAGTTTAATATATTTAACAATAAAGTATACTTATAAAAACTCAATCTGGACTCACACACCATTGGTACAAGTAAGACAAAACCACCAAACAAGTCTTATTGGATGTACAACACTCCCTCCCAAGCTCAAATAGCAAAGGTAACACCAGACTATTTTAATTGCAGTGCTCATTTCACAGTAAACCTTCCCAGCACTGCTATATGACAGTTTTTCTGCATTATGTATTTACAGTAGAAAATGTCAATTCACTCTTTCACTCAGAAGACGGAACACTGTCAACTGCCATTCTGTTTTCAAATTTGGAACATGGAAAAAAATGTGGCAACCACTATTGATATGAAATAAACTTCTGAACAGTTCAGCTGATCAAAAGCTTTTGTGCTGCAGTCAAAGCAGGACCTAGAATAAGCACAGATGGAAAGAATTAAAATTCACAGATAAGGCTAGTGGCAGGCAAAACAGTAACATACTGGAAGCACCAGTTAGGGAGGAAGTTCTCTGTTCCATTCATTTCTGAACAATTTTTAACATATTCAAGTCACTGTGTATGTCCCTGGCATGCACAAAACCTGAGCGGAGAGAGCGTAGAACAAGAGAAAGTGTAACGAGAGTGTGACATGGTCTAACTCATGAAGTAAGTTTTCTTCTTTCAAGAAGAAAACACTAAACATAGCTAGAAATTCAGTTTTGAAAGAAGAAAGAGGAAAAAAATAACTAAGGCATGATATACCAGAAACCTACAGAAATTACAGACCAGTTGCAGAAAAGGAGTAGACAAAGACTATTCTGTCCCTGCCCCTTGCTACACAAGTACAGGAGGTACACTTGTAAGAGTGGTGCAGCAACACAGATCTCAAACAGGAGAGTTAAACTAAGAAGGGTTTTGCCTGTACACCTCCCAGAGAGACTTAACTCATTTACATAGGATGTTGGCCAAAAGTATAAATGGACTTAAAAAGAATTCAAGACAAATTGATGGAAGAAAGGTCCAAAGAGAACTATTCAATTACATTCCAGATGCAGCTCCTGGCTCAAGAAGTTTCCGAAACCAAAGGCTGCCAGTAACTGGGAGAGTATACCAAAGTATCACATGGCCTTGTTCTTGTACCCGGGTTCGGTTGTGGGTTGTTTTTTTCCATGTCAGAGACAAAGCACTAGATCCATGGCCTGACAGAGCACAGCTGTTAGGCACCGAGCAGAATGTTTGCT